GTTCTGTCTTTACCTGCCTTGTCCCTCATGACACCGTTGGGTCACCCAAGGCCACACCATAACTTCACCCACCCTTCAAACCCAGACAGCTTAGTGAGGTAAATTAAGATCACTATGACTCTGCTCTCCAGACCTCTGGCAACAATCCTAAGCACAAGTGTACAGGCAAGAACTAACATTAAATTAGAGATAATTAAGCAATACATTTCACAGTGCTGACAATTTCGGAGTATGTAGGGCAGATGACTGATACAGTTTTAAATGGTTGAGATGTGCCTGGCATTCCACTGGGTTATGAATTGGCCACCAGGATACGATGAGTGACTGGTTGTAACTGCCCTGCTGCATTTACACAGACTGTCAACTGCTCACCGACCAGCCAAACAACCAAATCAAATTAAAAGGCTCATAGCCACTACTGTACAAGCCCCTGGAGACCCTGAATAAACAGATGGATCTTGTGCTGAGGACCAGATGTGAACTGGCAAGGAAACAGTTCCAGAGGCATCGTTCCCCTTCGCTGCAAACTCCCTGTGTGGAGATGTTCAGATCTTGGGGCAACGGAGAAGAAACAGGATGGCTCAAAATGAGGAGGAGGAAAAGTCTGATTCGGAAAAATTCAAGCTCAGAGCCGATGCAGAAGTAAAGGTCTTGCTTTTATGAAGAGATGATATGTAAATTATCAGATAGTAGTTCTGATAAGGCATTAAATGAAAATGTTTATGTTTGTTGTGGGTTTTTTTCTTACCACTAATAGCTGAAAAAGAGGTGAGTGAATGAAATTCCAGGAGGGGTTCAGATCTAATGCTGCAGGGTAAGTGCCTACAAGCCACAGGAGTAAAGCAATGCATTGACAAAGACAAGCATTTTCTATCAGGATGGACAAAAATACATGTCCAGGACATGGACCAAGGTTAATGCTGGTATGGAACTGTCCAACTGACCCATTGCATAGTCTTAAATCTGAATTTTTGGAGGCTCAGAGTGGAATTGAAGTGATGAAACCACTATTTATGCAGATTGACTGCTGGTTTTGGCAGAGGTGAAACCAAATCATCACATAAATTGTTATAATTACAAAACTAGGGGGGTTAATGTAGTCCAAGGTTTGGGTTAGTATGTTGTTGGGAGTAAATTCCAAACTGCTTTATTAACAGACGTGCTTATATATTTTTAAACCCAAGTCCCACAGGCTCAGTAAATGCTTTGAGGGCTTTGTTAAAAATATGTCCCAAGGGATGAACCACTGGCTCAGCTGAAGTCAGTGGAAGCTTCCCAATTATTCCCATGAGGTCAGAACATCACTCTCATTGTTTAAAAGGCATCTTCATAAAGTGCACTATGACAATTATATACAATTTAATTGTTAAATACTGCACATCTGGAGGTATCTTCTAAAAAGCTGCAATTGTTTATGCACTCAGGTAGTGAAGTGGCAGAAATAAATAGAATGTATCTAAATTGATTTGTAATTTAAATATTTGCCTTCTGCAGGTTAACCATCGTGCATTTAAACGCTGACGAGACTTAAATCAAGCCCACCGTGATTACTCCTAATTCACAACGAACCCATGGCTCACAGACACAATCCATAAATATTAAGCTGTGACAGCTTGCCAGGAGTTCTGCAAGGACCTGCTGATGGAGCTTTTCTAAGGAGCCTTCAGCAAAGCAGCAAACTGCGTGCCCCTCCAGGTGCCAGCTGCAGCAGTTGTGCCCCCAGCTTTCCCAATCAGATTTGTTGTAACTCTCTGTATCGCGACGTCTTCATCGGTAATGGATCCCTCCCTTAATTTGCGCTGATGCATTTGGAATGTCAGCTTCCAAAACAAGGCACATGGGAGGCATTTAAAGTAGATTTTATGAAAGGGGAAGGAACAAAGAGCATGTCAGGTTCCATTTTGATTTGCATGACAAACCCAGCACGCAGTGTTCTGGTGGGCCGGGCTGGGCTCGCCTGCCACTCAGGGCGTCTGTCACTTTGCTATGAGCACTTCTGACAGTCCGTTATGTTAATTGTTCTAAGGATTGTTTTCCTGGGGGAAGAAAGGGAAAGGCATTTTTAGTTTTGTTCTCCTTCCATTGACAGGAAAGGAGGGACGTCTGAGGGAACAGAAAATGTTTTCAAGAGGGTTTTGGTCTTTTTTTTTTTTTTTTTTTTGGTAAATAATCCTGTGAGGTCATCAACAGAGTTCAGTATTTTAAATCTTATTGTTACTCGCTCTGTGTGTTTTTGAGTGGGAAGTACCAGGCCCCTAAACTTGAAACTTGGGGAGTCTATTGTTTTGGTGCACACCACTCTTTGATCCTTTGAGTGCCACAGTGATGGGTCCTGCAGAGTGGTTTGTGCTGTGCCTATGTGCTGCTGTGGGATGATATTGTGGTGCTTTGACAAGTGCTAGCAAGAAATTTAATGCCCTCTGAGGGCTTGTGGGACACCCATTGTTCTTGGTATGTGGGTAACTCTCACATGTCAGACCTGTTGGGGGATCTGTGCACGGACTGAATTCTGGAGGCACAGTTCAAGGTGGAGGTTGCTGTGGCCCCTGAGGGTGCACACACTCCTCTACTGTCTAAAACAGTCAGGGATTGTTTGGTGGTGGGTTTTGAGGTTCGGAGTTCCTGACTGACTGCAGGTTGATCACGGAACAGGATTGTCAGACTGACAGAATGAGCAACCATAAAGTTTCAGAAGGCTGTTGTTTATGTTGGTGTCTCTCTTCCACAGTTACTGCTGATGTGCAGCCCAAGCAGAGCTTAGTGGTTAAAGAGTGAGAACAGCAAGAAGACAGAAATAGAATTTTCCAGAGGTTTACAGGTAATGACTTTTACCTTTTAAGTTCTGAATCCTACACTGCCTGTGGTGTTCTCCTTTACATATTGTGATCTCAGTGCACCACGACAGATTAGCTCTAAATACAGAATGATTTTATAGTATAAAATCATGCCATCGGATGCAGAAATACTCAAATGAAGTTAATCCAGTGTAGTAATTCCAATCACATTCAGGGTGCTAATGCTACTTTTCCTCCCCAGTGTTGTCCTCCAGGGCTGTTTCGTTAAAGTCTTTGCATCTGTACAAGAATCAGTTTGAGCTGCTGCATCTCAAAAGGTCAACCCCAATATAATTAATAACTTACTGTTGATTATGAACAACACTCCTTCACCAACACTTTGAGAAGGATTGCTGTGCTGATTTACTGGAAGCTGAACTCCATGGGAGGTGAATTCACTGAACTGTAGGTTCCAAGAGCCTGAAGGCTTTGGGGGGTGGCTGTGCTGGGACAGCTGTGCTGCCCCTGCTCTGACCCAGAGCCTTTGGCAGTTGAGTAGGACAGGGGAGTCTCGAGGGAGGACAATTCCATCAGGAACTCGTTCCTCTGGGGTAAGGGTTGCTTTGGCAGAGACAGCTGCAGGGCAGAGCTGCCTCGGCCCCCAAACCCTGAGTGCAGCACCAGTCTGCAGTTCTTGGTCTTGTGGCTGGATGGTGCCTCTCCATTTCCTGGTAGCTTTTCTGTTTGGTCACTTCTTGGAAAATCATGTCACTGTTTCCTGTCAGAGAGAAAAGTTGCTGAACCTCTCCCACTAAGGATTCATTTGGGCTTTTTTTAATTGGTGCCCATTATTGAGCAAAACCACCACAAGTCCAAGTCACAGCAGGTGAAAAAAAACTATCACTGCTCTTCATAGCTCTTGTAAAGTTCTTTGTCTTATGTGTGTTTTTAAAAAAGTCACTTGCTCAGGTTCTTGCTCTGTACTTGGCAACACCTGTTAAACATTTTGACTGTAATGAAAGGGAAAAATTACTCCCATTTTTTTTGGCTATTATATCTGACCAGCTCAGTGCCAGCAGTGACAACTCAATGCACAAGCAGCAGTTACTGTGAATAATATGCATTTAAAGCAACTCTCAATAAATTGTCTCCCATCTCACTTTTTTTCATTTCCCAGGGCGTCCCTCATTTAAGAAACTGAAATTTCCTGTTGCCTGGTTTTATTGTTACTTCTCTCAGAATCATGGACTCATAGAATGGCTTGGGTTGGAAGGGACCTCAAAGCTTATCTCTTTCCAACCCCCTGCCATGGGCAGGGACATCTTCCTCTATCCCAGGTTGCTCCAAGCCCCGTCCAACCTGGCCAGGGATGGGGCAGCCACAGCTTCTCTGGGCAACCTGTGCCAGGATCTCACCACCCTCACAATCAGGAATTTTTTTCCTAAAAATTTGGAATGTGGAAAGAAGGAAGGCACCATGTGAGAGGTGAAGAGCCACTTGTCCTGGAGGAATCCTACCACAGTCTCTCCTCATAGGAGAGAAGCTCCAGACCCCTCATCATCTTTGTGGCCTCTGCTGGATCCTCTCCTTGTCTGTCTTGTACTGAGGAACCCAGAACCAGACCCAGCACTCCAGACGTGACCTAATCAGGGCCGAGCAGAGGGGGAGCATCACCTCCCTGACCCACTGGCCACACTCCCCCCACACTGGATTCCAGCTTGAGCCCTCACCAGGGTGCTTGTGCTTTGTGTTTGCACGTCTCAGGCTCAGCTTTGCCATTTCTCCTCCTGTGGGAGCTGGGCTTGTTTAGTCTGGAAAAGAGAAGACTGAGAGGGGATCTCAACAATGCACAGAAATATCTCCAAGTCAGGTGTCAGAGGATGGTGCCAGACTCTTTTCCGTGGTGCCCAGCAACAAGACGAGGAACAATGACCATAAAGAAGTTTCACCTCGGCATGAAGACAAACTTCTCTCCGTGGAGGGTGGCAGAGCCCTGGATCAGCTGCCCATGGAGGGCGTGGAGTCTCCCTCTCAGGAGACATTCCAAACGCAGCTGGCCGCGTTCCTGTGCCACCGGCTCCAGGTGGGTGATCCCCACCCGCAGGACAGCGGGAGCTGCGCGGCCCCTCCGGCCGGGCAGGGGGCGGCAGAGCGCGGGCCGGGCCGGGCCGGGCTGAGCGGAAGCGGCAGCGGCAGCGCCTGGGGCTGGGCTGTGCCGGCCGGGTGTGAGCGGGGCCGGGCTGTGCCGGGCTGTGCCGGGCCGGGTGTGTGCCAGGTTGTGCCAGGCTGTGCCGGGCCAGGCCGGAGCGCCGCGGCCATGGCGGAGCGCATCGAGCAGCGGCTGGAGGACCGCGTGCCGGAGCTGGAGCAGCTGGAGCGGGTCGGGCTGTTCTCCCGCACGGAGATCCGGTGAGCGGGGCCGGGGCCGGGCGGGCGCGCGTGGCGCGGCCGGGAGCGCTCCCGTCGCTCACATCCCCATCCCCACAGGGCCGTCCTGAGGAAAGCCTCGGCTCTGGAGTACAAAATACAGCGGAGAGCGCTGCGGAAGGAGGATTTCATTAACTACATCCAGGTAGGCTTTGCCGAGCAGCAGGGCGGGCCGTCTGTCGCTGCACATCCAGCTCAGAACTGAGTAGTTTCGTCGTGCCCGAAGTAGAAAACAGGTCAGAAAACTATTGTATGAGCCATCCCCTCGCCTGGTCCCTGGTGTTCACCTGAGAGCAGCTTGCTGGCAACAGAGCAGCAAGCAGAGCCAGGAGTTCGTGCCTGAGGTTGGGATGAGGCTTCTCTCGTGTTGTGACCTTTTCCTGTGGCTTCTTATCTCTCCAGGGATGATACACCGTGCAGATTGTAGTTAAGTGGAATTAGTAAGTTGGATATTAGGAAAAAGCTCCTAAAAGGGTGCTTGGGCACTGACCAGGCTCCCCGGGGCAGTGGGCACGGCCCCAAGGCTGCCAGAGCTCAAGGAGTGTTTGGACAACGCTCTCAGAGACAGGGTGGGATTGGTGGGGTGTCCCTGGCAGGGCTAGGGGTTGGACTTCGATGATTCTTGTAGATCTCTTCCAACTCAGGATATTTTACGGTGCTAATTTTTTTGTGGCTAAACAAACTTCTAATTACAAGTTTGGCTTGGGCATCACAATTCTAGGAATGTGGGTTGCCAACAGCTCAAGTCTGAAATGTCACATGAAGTAGAAATCCTCAATATTAATTTCATCCAGTCTTAGAAATATAGTGACCCAGTCAAAAAATTATTGCTTAGGTTTTCCTGTTTGTAATATTTATTGTCCACCTGATTAGCTCTAACAAACTTTACCTGTATTTTTTTGCCTTGCTGTTAGATGTCTCTTCACTGGGTTTTAAATGTTATTTTTCTTTCCGTTCCAGTATGAAATTAATCTGCTGGAACTGATCAAGAAAAGAAGAGCAGTAAGTTTGTCACTCATTATTAGGAGTGCAAAATACTTTATGCCAAATTTTCTATTGCTATAAAATTGATATTTTTCCTCCCAGCGCATTGGATACTCGTTCAAGAAGGAGGAAATCGAGCATTCCATTCTGCACCGAGTCCACAGCCTGTTCAACAGAGCTACAGGAAAATGGAAAGTAAGTTTATTTGAGTTTGTTTTTTTCCTGCATGCCAGGTCATTCTACCAAGGGTGTGTTGTGATTTTGTACCTTGTGAGGTTGATTCTCTTCCTCTTTTCATTTCCCACAGGATGATGTCCAGCTCTGGCTTTCACATGTTGCATTTTGCAAGCAGTGGGTGAGTTTTCCAGTGCTGATCTTACCTGAGCTGAGATGGTGGATTGGTGGTTATTCAGGCACCTGGAACTTGAATTCAAGACAGTTTTACTGCCCAGTGCTGTAATGCTGAAATAATTTTGATAATATTGTTGGATCTGCCTGGGATTTTCCCCGATGTGTGTAAGTGTTCCATTCGGTACCAGAGTGGGTAAAACAAAGCTGCTTCTTTTACAGAATGCCAAACATCAACTCAGTAAGGTGTTTTCTACCATGCTGGCCATTCATTCCAATAAACCAGGTAAATAAAACAGCCGGTGAGTGCTGCACAAACGCCTCAGTGTGGACTGTGTGGTGTTGGTTAAAGTTCTTGTAGATCTCAGTTCAAGCTATCGGGGTGAAGGTCCCCACTCTCTTTTCTTTACCTTGCTGCTGCTTCAGAGAGATGGGCTCTGACAGGGGCTGTGATGGGAAGTAGGTCTGAATGACCATTTCCCAGGCAGACTGGGCACTAAGCAGATATAGCAGTGGTGGGAGATGTTGAATGCTCAAGACTGCTCTCTGGCTTTGGGAGACATCATTAGCTCTGTAGCTAAACCAGATTAAACTTCCTGGATCTGCCTAGCTGCTTAGATCTGTCCTTCAGCTTGGTTTTCATGGGAGATAATCAGTTTGGTTCCAATGCTGAGCTCCTTTTGAGAGATTAATTAATTTGTATCACCTGCCGCAGCACTGTGGATTATGGCAGCAAAGTGGGAAATGGAGACACGACTGTCATCAGAAAGTGCCAGGCACTTGTTCCTGCGTGCTCTGCGCTTCCATCCAGAGTGCCCAAAACTTTATCAAGAGGTGAGCTCCTGGTTCTCTTCTACAGCCAGTTATTTGATCAGTCAGAGCAAATGTCTTCAGTATATTTCTCAGGAAAAAAATCTTGTTTCCCCCTCAGCGGGAAAATGTAAAAACTATTAAAAAAAACACAGCCCCAGAATTCCCTTCTAAGGTGCCGTTAAGCTCTGCTTGGACATATTTCTCAGGGTCAGTCTGGCATCCCCAGCCTTTGCTGGGGAACTTGGTTTTCTCTGAGGGCAAGTGAAGGTGTAAAGAATGACTAAAGAATGACGTTGCTACATGTGGGAAATGTCTGGATCAATATTAGGGCACATAGTTATGTGCACCAGCTTCAAAAACCCAAGGCTCTTGGACACAGATGGGATGTGGGAAAGCCCTGATTTGTAGCTCCTCAGAGCTTGTTTTACCTCGTTTGTGGACTGAGATTTTGATGACTTACCCCCCCAGTCATTTCCCTGTGCTGTCACTCTCACAGTATTTCAGGATGGAGCTGATGAACGCTGAGAAACAGAGGAAGGAGAAGAAAGAATTTGAAAAAGCCAAGATGGACTTGGTAGGTCAGCTGAACTCACTTAAGGGAGATTGTCTGCTTGTGTGTCCCACGTCTGAGTGCACAGTTTCAAGGGATCTGGATTAATGGTTTGTTTGACAAGGGCTTAAGAGAAAGTTTTTGTTCATGTGCTGTGCCTGTGTGGAGCTTTTCAAGTGTTTGCTGATGCTCAGCTCAAACACTTCACACGCTGATTTTTCTTTGCAATTGTAACATCTTTCATTACATTCCCCAGCCTGAAAATTAATAGTAATTTCTGGAAAGGAGTAGTTAAACTTACTATCTTTCTTTTCTTCCTAGTTGACTTGTGCAAATTACATAAAAAAATAGATGAAAGAAAACAGTGCTATCTTCTGATTTTTTTTTTCCTGTTTGCAAAACTGATAGCTGAGAAAGGAAAATAATTTTTTCCAATGGTATGTTTTGATATTGCAGGGGGAATTCAATTACTCTGAAGAGATTCTCAATGGGGAAATGGCTCGAATAGTCTACAGGGATGCAACTCAGAAAATTAAAGGTGATTTAATATTTCCTGTACTTATTCAGTAAGAAAATTGTCACCTTTAACCCAGCTCTGCAGTAGGCAAAAATGCAGAGTGTGCAACTGATGTGATATTTTGAGGAATTCTTTAACAAATACTCCACTTGATAGGTTTTTTTTCTCCTCTTGAAATGCAGGTGTTGAGTTCCAGCTGGCTGTGCTCTCCATTGCAAAGCTCTTTGATTTTACCCAAGATTTGCAAAAAGAAATCCTTGAAAAGTGAGTTGTGGCTTCGTGTTGTGTTTTTATTTTATTCTAGTTGGGGTTTTAAGAAACATGTTCTCATAACTTCTCTGATTTATAGTGGGTTGACAGGACTTTTAGCACTAAAGGCTGTTCCTGTAGGGAATTAGTGTTAAGGCTTCTGTGAAATCCTTTAAGAAAAACAAAAGATGAGGCAAGTATGTTCTATAGAAAAGGATGCTTGTATCCAACTTCAGAAAGGGCTTTAAAAAGCTGCTAAAAATTTAGATTAAAAATAGGTGTCACTGAGTAATTACTGCACTTAGTTTCTGTAAATACACTGCAGGAACTGTGAGTTTTCACAGTGTACTTTTGTAGCATTTTTGCATCTTTTATTTCTTTAGTTGTTCCTCTTGAAAGAAAGATTTCTCTTGGCAACTTCCTGTCCAGTTCATATTATTTCTGGAGTATAACCATATTAAATATTTAAAAAACCCTAATATTTTGTCTTTCTCTTGTGGAAAGTAAGATTTTTTTTTTCTCTGGCATTTGTTTACTTATATATATATATATTTTTATACTTATATATCAACAACCAAACAAATATAACAAGTTACATCCCAACCCTTCCAAACACAGCTGGGGACGAAGGGCGGTGCCTGGGGGCTGTCACAGACGTGGTGTGTTCAGTTTGCAGGCCAGTTATGCTGATGATCCCCTGACCTGGGACCACATGGCCCGCCGGGAGCTGGATTTGGGGTCCCTGCAGCCCCCAGAACGTGCCCCAAAGCAGAGGAAGGTGGCAGAAGTGGCCCGGAGGGAGGAGCGGTGCTGTGCAGTCTTTGACGAGGCTGTGGCAGCAGTGCCAACAGGTGACATGTCCTGCCTGCCTTTGAACAGCTTTTCCTGGTGCTTGGAAGGCTCCAAGGGGATGGCAGGCTCTGCCAGACCTGAGAGAAGGAAAGCAGCTGTTACATGCTGCTTGCTGGGCATCTGTTTGGTGTGTTATTTGGGTTATTTTCCAAAGCATTTATGCTCTCAAAGGAGCTGCTTAACTGGAAATGTGAGTGTATTGCTGGTTAGCTGTGAGTAAGCAATGGGTTTGAGTGGCCAGTGGAGTGGATATCCAACTCCCAGCATCTGGCACTGTCCTTACTTTGAACATTCCTTGAGAAGCCTCAGCTCTGAACCAAGAGCTGGATGCTCTTTACAAGGAGTTCCTGTCTGCAGCTCGTACTGGGAAGCCATTTTAAAATGTTGATGTTCCAAATCTAGGGCCTCTTTTTATAATAGAACATTTCAAAACAAAGTTGGCGTTAACACCCTGCTTGGATTCTTTGTACTTCTTAAATATTTGTGCTTACTCTTGTGATTCTGTGCAGTGTGATATTATGCCTTTGCTTCTACAGAGGACATGTGGAAATGCTACATCACGTTTTGCTTAGAGAGATACAACAGGAAAACCAACAGTGAAGAATTAAAGCAAAAGGTAAAAGCTTATTAGGAAATCATACAAACAAATCATTCCTGTTTTTACTGACTTCTGTAATTCAGAAACAAGACAAGAAGCAAATATATTGTGACATTTTATCAGAAACGTGGCCATCACTAAGAATCATTTCGTGTCCATCTGGGGAGATCACTTTTACTGTCAGGCTCACACATGGCCTGCCTGAACATGAATAACCTGGGCATAAACCAGCCTTGTCAGTAAAGTACAGTGACCTCTTTGGATGAAAGCAAAGACTCAAACTCATTAATTATAGAATGGTTTGGGTTGGAGGGGACCTTAAATGTTCAGTGACAGTGTAATTAGATATTCAGTGACATGTTGGTAGACAGTCCACTTTCCATCTTGAAATGCTGGAATCTGGTATTTACAGGAATAATGCTTGTTTTTTTTCTCTCTGTTGGTTCTAGAGGCTGGAGAGGACACTGAGTGTGTTCAACAAAGCCCATGAGTGTAATTTGCTGCCAGAAGCTCTCTATAAGCAGTGGGTAAGAGCTGACACAAGAAACAGATTGCTTTTTAACAAGGTGTTCCAAGTCTCTTGTGGTGATGAGCTGTATCTGCTGGGTTTCAGCTGCAGCTGTTGCTGGAGTCCAGCCTCTCTGAGAAGGCTGTGGAGGTGGCAGAAGCTGCGACCAGGCGCTTCAGCGTGTCCGTGGACATGTGGCAGATGAGGCTGCAGGTGCTGATCCAGCTGAAGAGGGAAGATGTGACCCAGTGTTTTGAAGAAGCCATTAAACATGTGAAATCCAAGGTCTGTGCTGGTTTATGGACTTACATGTCATGGGCCAGAAACCTCTGGTGCTTGGTTGCTTGAGTTTTCCTTCACAAGGCATTCAAAGTCCCTAACAATTTCTAAGGTCAGATATATGAACTCGACATTCCACGTGCACGTTGCATTGCTGAGTATTAGGGAACTGTAAATTCACTTCAGAGTCACAGGTTTAAAGTCTGAATGCTCACGGGTGACACTTTGCATACTCTCCTAGCAGTGAGCTGGTATTCTTTGGGTCTTACTTGAAAAATGTGCTTCCTTTTATTCCCTGTGCTGACACGCTGTGTGTGTGGTATTTCAAGCCTTGAATTAGACGTGAGTTCTGCTGTTCCATTTCAAACCCTGGGCACAAGGAGTGAGGAGAAGAAACAGGAAGGTGACTATTTCTTCTTCTTGGAAGTTCCCTTTGTACTGCAGGGCTCAGCGATGCAGAACAGTTTGTCTCATCCCTGGCTATGCCGCTGTCCAGCTAAGTAGTGTTAGGAAGGAGATGAGAAGTGATTTCAGGGTGCAGCCCAAAGCTGTCTTTCCAAGAGCTGTGCCTAAAGGATATTTTTACAGCAGCTAATACAGAACCTGGAGGATGTGTTGCTGTCTGTGTCTGTCAATCAGTGGCTGTATTTTAGGCATTTGATGTATCTGCTCACCTTGTAGGGCACTTTGGCATTGTGGACCCTCTGGGTGGAATGGAGCGAAGGCACGAACAGCAAGGAGGACACAGAAGCTCTGTACCAGGTACTGGGCTAATCAAAATCTACTTTTACGTCTGTATAAATAAATGGGAACAATGTGTGTGGATGGAACACGTAACAAATGTTTTATACAGCAGTTCTGTCGTGGATGTGTTGATATCAAAGCATTTCAAGCAAAACTGTGTGTGTTACCAAAAATCAGCTGGACATGGGCTTATGGGGACAAATGTCATTGCCCTTCTTCTGAGACACAGATGTTTGTAAGCACAACCAGTGATGTACTCTTACTTTGTGGTCTAGAATTTTTGTTGTTTCAGACACCTGTCTGAACACAGGAGAGAAAATTTTACAGTCTCTCTGAAAATATCAGTCTTGTTATAGAAAACTCAAGATCAGAACTGGGACTTTAATCTCACTATAAATTTCCTCAATATCTTAGGGTAAAACATTCCCTTTTTGCCTGGCATGTTGGGTAGTGGGGTTTTCCCCCCTTTTATAAAATAAAACACGTATTTCAGGTGGAAACTTGAATTCAGCTCTCTGCAGGAAGGGTGTTAAGGAAATGCCAGTTGCCAGCTGTGTGGAATATTGGAGGAGAAATGTATTTTAGACTTAGGAGATCTGCTTTGTTTCAGATGCCTGATGGGGGAGAAGGTACTGTTTGGTTTTGTCTCCCTTGTTGCTTTTCAAGTGTGGGTATGTGGTTGTTTTATTTTTTGTTTTGTGTTTTTCTTCCTTTTAAACTTGCAGAGGTCCTTACGTGCCACAACTCCTGCTGAATCTGTGACTATGAAAGAAATGTATCTCGACTGGACTTACAGAAGTGGTGGTTATAAGAAGGTTAAAAAAGTCTTTACCAGGTAACAAATAAACCCCTCAAACCGGATTGTTCTAGGGTGTGTGCTAAAAGGCTTGCAGTCTGACGTTACTTGTCTTATTTCAGCCTGTGTGAAAATCGTCCCTTTTCGCTTGACTTCTTCAGGAAGATGATCCAAATAGAAAAGGAGCAAGTAAGTTGTTGAATATCCAATTAGTGCCTTGTATTTGTAAAATACACTTCTAACTTTGGATCTGAATGGGACACAGAATGGTGGTGTCAGTCTGTGATCAGCTCACGTTTGTCTTCATGAGTTGATTCGCAGGATGTGATACGAGCCCAGTTCCATGGTAACTAATCTTGGGCACTGTGTGTGTGTGTGTGTGTAATTGCCATGACTCTCCTCCTTTGTAAGGATCTAATCAAGCTGCAGATTCACTTCTGTACAAAACAAATGGCCTTTTAATACCTTCCTTTGTTAGGAATCCTGCAAAATGCTTCATCTGAGAGAATACTATGAACGTGCCTTGAGGGAGTTTGGTTCGACAGATACTGGTAAGGGGATTCTATTATTTATTTATTTATTCATTTATTCATTCATTCAGTGCTGCCTCTTATTTCCACCCATTTGAGAAGGTAGCTGTTTGTTCTGCCCTTGTGCTTGCTGTCATGCAGGGCAGAGCTTATTTCTTCTGTGCTGTTAAGTGTAGGACACTGCAGTGACCCTCCACTGTCAGCCCAGGGTCACTGGCACTGGGATGGCTTTGGCACCACTGGGAGCACATCAGGTCTTGACACTGGCATTGCTGCATTTCTTATTAAGACATCACTGTTGCAGCTGGGAACAGAACCCAGGGTTTTGCTCCTCAAGCTGCAGGACACTGTAGTTTCATGAAATAAACCTTATTGCATTAACATCAAAGACACTTAAAACAAGAGTCTCTAGTTAGGTTTGTTTGTTAAGTAACTATCCAGTTAAAATATAACCAGAACTTCCATTTTTCTTTCAAAGATCTGTGGCTGGATTATATCAAGGAGGAGCTCAGTCATCCCCAAGGCAAACCAGAAAACTGTGGGAGCATTCACTGGCGAGCTATGAAGATGCTGCAGGGAGACCTGGTGGAAGATTTTGTTTCCAAATACACTTTATTGCAAACTGGACATTTATGAAAAACCATACGTAGTTGTAATGTGACAGTGCATTTTTTTAACTTCTTTGTACAGAGGTAAATATGTTCCTGGATCTTATTAAAATTTACCTTCTTTACATTCTGTGTGACAAAAAAAGAATCATCTGTTCCATTGCAGGCGTTTTTAGTGCTGCTTTTGCCAGGGGCAGGCTCAGGTGCACAGTTAGAGAAAGCAAAAGCATTTCTGAGGGTGTTCTCATTGACACTTCTGAGAGCAAATTCTTCATCCTGCCCAAACATTCAGATAGTTATAATGCATCAGCTTTTACACTCTGGAAAGCAAGTATTTCAGCACCTAAATGCAAAAAACCCCAAACCAAACCCCACACCCCTACTACAGCTGTGGCTGCTCTCCATATTTTACCAAGCTTAATAATTAGAAGTGGAACACTTTTCATTAGGTAATCAGAAATCAGTAAAAATACAGTATTTATTGTTTCCTAGCCTTGAAGTCATCTGTATTCCTCAGAGCCTCTGCAGTCCCCTTGCACTGGTATTTGCATCCTGAGAGTGACTGAAAGGTAGAGGGGAGCTGAGATCTGTTAGCACTGTCCCTGAGGTGGGAGCAGAAGGTTCCGATCTACACTTCAACTTTCTGTCCACAGTACCTGAAAAATGGGCACTGGCTTTTTTAAAATGTGGTTGGCTGTTTTAGAGAGCCACATTCTCCCATTTCAAACACAGCATAAATTCTATCCTTGGATCAGTAGGGAAATGTAAGGAAAGTACAGGAACATTCAGCAATAGTTCCTTCATTTAATTTCCCAGAGACTGAAGGGTGACATAATGACCATATAGGGAAATATTTCTTCAAAATTTTTCACTCAAATAGAAACTGCAGCTTTCTCAAGCAATGAATTCCACTAACTTTTGACCTGCTGGAAAAGTTTGGAGCAGCAGCTTGTTAAGATTGCTCCTTCTGTGGCCAGATCTGAAGGACATCGTGCTTTGTCTTTTTCTAGACTTTAGCCAGGCCATCTCCCCCGCCCTAGTTCCCTGCCATCTCATGTCTGACCTTGAGATTTCCTTCCTGAGAATCACTTACACCCTCTCTGCCCCTCTACTCTGTTACTTCTGAATCACTTCTTGCTTCTTCAGTTGTGCAACTAAAAGCTTTTAAGTGCAAGAGGTTTTCAGCAAAGCCAGTAACTCCACCATTCCACAAAGCGGGCCCCTTTTCTTCATCCATTCTGGTTCCTCACCGAATTTTGCCACTCACGTCAGTACCTGCAGCACCTGCCAGGGATCGCATTCCCTGAAAGCACATTTGCCTGACACCTTCTGGTGGAGCACCTGCCGCAGCAGCTCAGCCCAGGTGCTTCCCATCTCTTCATGCCTTATCTGAGCATGCTGCCAGCGTTAGGTGGGAGGGGTTTGCTGCAGAGCTTGCAGAGGTATTGAGACTTTATTTACAGCTTCGTGAGCTGTAAGGTGCATAAAGGTGCTTTCTCCCGGCTCTTAGGTCTGTTATTTCTGGATGTAGTCTCCACTGCGTGGTGGTGTTGGGTCAGGGATTGGGCAGGATGGTCTCAGAAGTCTTTCCAACGTAGTGGATTCTGTGAAGTCATGCGGTCTGTGTTCGAAGAGCTCCGGGGCGGGGGGCTCTGTGGGCTGAGGGGGAACTGCAGTGTTGGGGCAGGGGGCTCTGCAGGCTGAGGGCAGTGCCTGAGCTGCACCGGGGTCTGGAGCAGGAGCAACATCTCAGCTCGAGCCTCAGGCCCGGAGCCAGTTCCCCGGGCACAGCCGCGGGGCCCGCCGGGCGGGCGGTGCCCTGAGGGGCCGGGCGGGGCCGGGCAGTTGAGGGCGGTCGAAGGTGCCCTGAGGGGCCGTGAGGGCTCTCCCAGAGCTCCGCTCTCCGTCGCTGCTCGCCCGCCGGCTGCAGGCCCCGCTGCCCGCATCCACCGCCGCCGCCTCCCTGCTGGGTGGGAGTGCGAGGAGAACTCGCCGTTCCCCGCCCCGTGGGCACCATCAGGGACTCCTGCTGCTCTCCCGCCCCTCAGCGCTGCTGGAGGGTGCGCTCCGCTCCTGCCCCTCGGCGTGTGGGCTCCCACGTGGTGGTGGGTTGGCTTTTTGGTGTTTACATTTGTTCCTCTCCTTGTACCTTCGCTACCACCGTTCCCAAACGGGGCACATTCTGCGTCGGTTTTGGGGCCCCTTCCCGGAGAGGTGGCAGGAGGATTGCGGGGCTGAGGGAGGAGGTGGCTGTGCTGTGTTGCTGATGCCGGGGGGGACTGATGGCAGCAGCAGGATGAGCCATCCCTCGGCAGATTCGCCCTCTGAAGTGAAAGCCTGTTTGGTTTTAAACCTCTGATTCATCAAGGGAACAAATGGATGGGCTCCAGGGTGCAGAAACACTCAAATGCAGTAGCAGTTGCGTGAACCGTGTTGGAGTTATCAATGAAAGCTGCTGTTGAATTCTTTAAAACTCTCTTGTAGGTGATGGCCGGTGCCGTTGACACCACGAACCGTGAGGAGAAACAGCTTCCTAAAAAGAGAGAAACTATGATCTGGAAGCCCAGAAAAGGTAGGACAAAACAAAGCAGATGGTGAGTAACGAAACTTAGGCTTTGCTTGAGAAATTTATTTAAAACCTTTAGGTGAAGGGTGAGAAATGCCTCTTCAGTTACTGCACTAAATTATTTCCATGTAGATATTTGTGTATGCCTGGGTGCAAGAGCAGTTAATCAGTATGACTGTTTTTAAACCAGAACCACAGTTTTTCAGCATACCAATTTTTTAAAAAATGCCTACAGGCGAATGTGGTGAAACAAGAACTGCTGGGTCCTTTGCATTACTTAAAGAGTTATTTTCCAACAAAAGTGTGTGGAAAATCCTGAGTTGAGCTAGCGCTGTGATGCAAGGCTATGTCCACTGTTCCCAAGCATCTGCAATGTGAAGCAGCTCTGCAGTGATACTACATATGTAGGAAATTGCATACATTATAATTAAATTAGTAATCACAAAGTGCATTTGTGTTCCTGTCTGAATTATTGTGTGCTGAGCATTTAATTATTCCTGTTTAATTTCTGAGTGTATCTGTTGATGCTTTCTGTTGGTTTTAGAATGTTTGCTGGACAACATTCCAAACGTTCCTGATACCGAGCCTGAGGAAAGCGAAGCCTCTGATACCTCTCCCAGTGAAGATGATGAGAGTGTCTCTCCTGCCGACTGGTACAGGGTGCACTCTTACCTGGATGAGGAGGATGATGAAGTCTCCAGTTTACCTGACTCTGTGAAGCTGCAAAATGCCGCTGAGCATGAGGTGGAGGACTGGGACAAAGAATTGGAGGAATTTGCATGCAGTCCTTATGGTGAGTACACGTTTACTTGTGCTTCAGTTAATTTTGGGATGGTAGGTGGCTGGAGGTAGGAGAATGTGTTTAAGTAACTCCATGTTCTGTTTTGGGAAGAAGTTTCTTGTTGTTTTGACCTCATGGATATGTAACAATTCTGCACAGTTTTGTTGTCAAACACAGGGTTTAAAGGTGGTGTTGGAGAAGTTCACGTGCAAGTCTTGCTTGGGCAGTGGAATTCTTAGGGAGGGGCATGGGAAGGAGGAGAATTCTATGTGTGTATTGACTTTCTGGGGAGAAGCAAGCTCTTGATGATGTATCTTTGTTATTCTGAAGCAGAAGACAGGGGTGCATGGCGTGCAGGAATGTAGCTTTTTTGGTGTAAAAGTTTTCCTCCAAGAAAATTCCAGATTCTACTCTATAATATCCCTCTAGAGCATGGAGTTCTTTGCAAGTGCTCAGTCTCTGAATAGGGTTTGTTGCTTTTGCTGTAGGGTTGGCTTTGGTTTTGTTTGTTTGTTTGTTTTTGGGGCTTTGTGTGTGGGTTTTTTGTTATTGGTTTGTTTTTTTTTTTTTTTTTTCTGGAAGGGTTTTGTTTGGTTTTTTGTTTGACTTTATTGTTTGGTTTTTTGAAGCCTGATCCTCTGAAGTGGTCGTGCATGTGATCAGTCCCATGGACAAAGGTGGCAGGGCACAGAAGCAGTTTTATCCACCTCTTTGGAGCTGGATTAATCCTCCAGCTTGTGACTTGTTTTTGTGTTGAACCAAGAGTCTCAACCTTGCATTGGCCAGGCTGGCTGGTGTGTAGAACAGGTGGATGGAGTTCAGCCAGCAGTGGCTGATAACCTGCTGTGTCTTTGATAAAAATAGTACATTTCCATTTTCTTCTCATTAATGTGTATCTTTTTGTAATTAATATGCTTTGCTTTGGAAATCTGAATGCTCTGTTTATTTGGATTCCATAAATGGCTGTTCTATTCAAGTACCAAGTGCAAAAGTTTTTGCAGTCTTTCTGTAAAACCATTCTGATTTTAAAAGGGAAACACAATATTGGTTTTTCACAGTGGGTAATTTGAGGAAAAAGACTGTTTCCTTTTTGGATATTTTCCCTCTCTTCCATTCTGGGCTTTCCTTTTAATCCCTCATCTACTCAAATTTATGGTATGTTTTGAATTTTTTACTGGAACTGTCACAAGTTCTTTTTTTATTTTTCATTTATTTAACTCACTCCACCTGTACTTATGCTTTTTAATCCTCACAAGCTGAGGCAGCTGTGATTATGGGACTCAGGTGCTTGGGAAGGGTAGTGAGTACAGTTGTTAACTCAGTTGTTAACTGCTACAAATAAAAGAAGGTGCTTGGTTGGTCGTTCTGTGGCTTTTTAAAATGTCTGTTTGAGCACTTGCTGTGCTGGCTTGTTTAGCAGTGCTGCTGGAAGGCTGGCAAGTGGAATACTGTGTTGGGCCTTCTGCTCCCCACACTTTGGGCTTTTTCAGTCCTTTCAGTGCCTACTGGCTAGAAATTCTTCCCTTCTGTTACTTTCCTGAGTATCTCTCATGGTGTAAACCTTTTCTTTTATCTTCTGTAGATGCTGATGATCTGTCCTGGGGAAGCTTTCAGGAAAATAATGTTGTGGCCTCATACGTGTGGAAGGAGGATTGGTTTTACCAGCCAGGCTGTCACCACGCAGCCTGCTTTGTCTCTCCACCACGAGTCAGGGGCGAGGTTGAGAGTGGCCAGTTTGACGATGCAGATGAGTGAGGTTGACCCTGGGCAGAAGTAAGTTTGGTTTTTGAGTTTGGATTGTGTTCTTCGCTGACTGAGCCATGTCAAGTCCTTTAGTTTGCTGGCAGAGTTCTGCCCAGGGCCAGAAATGTGACACCATCTCCCTGAGCTGTTCATGGACTGCCCACACTTGGCTCTGGAGATGAGAGTGCAGGTGCTGGCTGTGACAGTCACTGCATTTCTGCGGGTTTTGTTTGTGTTGTGTAGATCTGTGTTGTTACTAATTAATTGCTTGAGAAGAAGTGTTCAATTTCTAAACTTCAGATTGTTTATCTGCAGGGCTTTGTGAGTTTTGCCATGCTGATCCCTGTGTGTCTGTAAGTTTTAGTTTCCTCTCCTTTTCACCTGATGATGTCAGATGGATTTGAAGAGCTTCAAAAACTGTCCCTCCTTTGAGCTTCTGTTGTATTTCCATGCGGTTCTAATTCCCATTTGTGATTCTGATACTTCTTATTAACAAAACCAGCTGTGGCAAATACAGAACGAGTCGTTTTGTGTTTATTTGTATGTATTTCAGTGTAAAGGAGTTCCAAATACATGATACATGTTTTGCAAATACACGTGATGATGCACAGTAGGGCCTGCTCCATCCAGTGGGAATGCTGGGTGCCCAGGGCTGCCTCCCAACAAAGCTTTCTCCACATCAGACCTCCTTGTTCCATGGGCATATTACCCTGCAGTCCCACTGCTGTCTTTATTACATTCTCATGCAGCATCAGATGTGAAATGACAAAGAAAAGATCTCTGCTTATATATATCACCTTGTGGTACATAATCTGTGTGTCCTGCTGGCAGTGGAGGATTAAGGTTCCTGACACTGTTCTGCTGGTTTTGTGGTGGAAATGAGGGGATGAAAACACAAAATACCTCCTAAGAGAATAGCTGGAACCAGAACCATCTCCTCCCTGTTTTCAGATGAAGTATGTAAGTGGATTGAAAGGTTGGTCACCTGAGTAACAATAATCTTCACCTAATGCTCATGTTTCATTAATCACTGTTCTCTCAAGAAGCTTTTCATGGCTTTTTTTCCCACGTTTTGACACTGAACTGGAGCACAGGACAATGTTGGTGTTTTGTTTTCTCATCTAATGCGTGAGACCAAAATAATTCACACACTGGTTTGGAGGAGGAAGTGGATGACACAGTGATATTTCCTTAATTTTTTCCTAGAGAGCACAGGACAAGAGCTTTACTTTGGATACCTTTCAGTTCCTGGTTATGTGTTAGTACTTGGCAGTGGAAGTACAGAGTGGGAGCTGGTGTTGAGGTTGCAAGAAAGAGGGTCTGTTCTTTTATTCCTGTAGGGTGGAGTGACCTGGGGATTAATGTTTCCCTCAAACCTCAGTTATACCAATAACTCATCAACCAGAGTAAAAGGGTTGATTTGCATTTATAAATGCAATATTCATAAATATGTATTGAGTGCAGATACACTGGTAACTTGTAAAAATTCCTGTGAAAAGTGCCGGCTCGTTTTGTGAGCCTGTTTATCCCTTTTGCCCAGCTGTTGTGAACGCCCAGCGCTTCCCTGCAGAGGGCAGCAGAAAATTGTCTGCCTGCTCGGCGTGTGCTCGTCAGGCGGTGTGAGCTCCCCGGGCTGCGTTTCGAACGCTGGGAGCAATTCAGATCCGTGTTCTGCAGAGCCCTGTTGGTCCCCGGCGAGGCTGATTCATGGCCCGGATTAGTTTCTCTTTTTTTAAAAAAAAATTCACTGCCAAGTTATACTTACTGGACTGAAAAATCTCTCCCCGGGCTGAGAGAAGAACATTACTTGACTTCAGGCTTAATATATTGTTTTTTACTATGCTTGGGGGAGATATCCCACCATATTCAATAAAGAGGAAACTAATAGAATTCTGTGGAAACAAACCCATCTTGGGTAGAATTGTTGTAGAAGGATAACCAAAAAGTCTTTATAACACTGATTAGGGTGATTTTTTTCTTAGAGTTCAGAAATTCCATCAGTACCGAATCTTCAAGCCATTTTCCATGCAGTCTATAAATCAAGGTGTTTTTTCACCCTCTTCCTTTAATTACAATCAGTCTTGTCTGTCTCCAAGGTTTTATTATTTGAGGAGAAACTGCATTGAATGGCTGCCTTGCTGAGCTGTTTGCATTTTAAATGATAAAGATTGTTTCCAGTTTCCATTTAAGGTTAAAACTGCCACCACCCCCACCAGGTGTGGGGAAAAATAGCAGGAGGGTTTTGTAGCAGAGATGCATCCTGCTCTCTCCAGGGATATGTTGGCAAATACAACTTTGTTCATCTTGGCCCTGCTTGTTAGGGCAGGGGCTTAATGGAAAGCTTGATCTGAATCCTCTCAAACTTCAGGGGGATTAGAAAACCAGATGCAGCCTCCTCAGAAAGCATCTGCCTGGGAGGATTTGAAACCGAGCTGGTGGATTCCAATGTTTCTGCTCTACACAGTGTTTCAAATTCCGTTGTGAATCTTGCTCTGAGCCTGTTCTGTGTTGACACAAGTGTGTCATGCTAGGCAGGAACACATTGCATTTAAAAACAACATAAGGTAGCGTGTGAGCCAGCAATTCACACCGAGGGGCAGCCCCTCAACCTGCTCAGATTATTGGAGGGGAAAGAGTCCCATCACAGGACCAAGATCATAAATCTTGCATGCATACAAGAAACACACTGGCAGGACATAAGTCAGCTGAAAGCTCTTCAGAAGTGTCAGAGATTTCTCAGTTAGATGCACACACATCCCTAACACAATTTCCCCCTTCTACACCCACATTATAAATGTCATTCAAAGGACAGAGACCCTGCTGCAGGTTAATATGTTTGCTGGGTTGTGGGAAAGGCTTAGGAGTGGAGCATAATATGGTGGCTTAATAGAGCAGGTTGCAACTTTGGTGCTGTCCTTGCTTTTCTTCTCATTTCCCCACTCTGTAGGTAAAGCTGAAGATACCAACCAGTAAAGTGCTTCAAATTCACTGAGCAAGACATTTTGTATAAATAGTGAGGTTTTAAAAAACAACACAGAATTTTGCACTTTCTCTGAACAGGCCAGCAAAGAAATGAGAACTTGTTTTGGGTGCATCTGTTGTTTCCTTTGAGACCTACAGGCAATGATTTGCAGGAGGAAATAATTGAAGGAAATGTGTTCATAGTTCCTGTTGATAAGGTACAACACTTAATTCATGCATCAGATTGAGAGAGTTTCTTGGTCTTACATAACCACAAAATCCAGCCCATTTTAGTGTCCTTTAAAGACTGTTCCTTCACTTGTTGTCCCATCTTTCAGCTGGTGTGCTTTCACTCTTAAACTGAGAAAATGCCTCCACTGCTGAGGGGGGACTGTGTGAGTAACTTCACAGAGTAAAGGAAAAATGCTGATGGCAGCAGCTCATCCTGCCCATCTGCTGCTTGCACGGAGCCCAGTGTAAATCCCTTAGTAACAAAGGTTGTTCTGTGGAGCTGGGTAAGTGCAGGCACGGGAGGGAACGTGGGATGCCCTCTGTGGGTCTGGACTGCAAACAGAGACGTCGGAAGCGTGAGTTACAGAGGATGAATCTGTGCTGGAGTTGTTAGTCCTGGGAGTACCAGCTGCTTGGTTTCCCAGCTTGGCAGGAGAAACTGGAACCTCCTAAAAAAAGCTGCAAAGCACACAAACCCAGTAATTGGGTTTAGTGATGGAAACAGCTTCTTTAAGCACTTGGAATGTAGATCCTCAGCCTGTGCAAACTTCGGCAGCTCCTTAGCCAGGCACAGCCTCTGTCCCTGCGTATCCCCCGTGCAATGCCTGTGTCATCTCTGAGCTCAACCTCATGTGCAGGGTTTCATTATTGCTGTGGGGTTTAGTCCTTAATATAATGGGCTTTCTTTACATTCATTGTAGCTCTGTTGACCTTCACAGAGCAAAACCCATCAACGTGGCTCAACATCTGCATTTATATGGTAGCAGGTTGTCTTGGATGGGTTTTTCTCCCCACATTGATGATAGTTTCAGGACATGTAGCAGAAATCAGCCCAGGAAAGGTAACTTCCTATGATTCAGCAAGTCGTGATTGTGTGGCCTCAGTTATTTTAATCAAACCTTTTCTGCCTGCAACTTCTGTATTTAGAAATACTAAACATTTTCACTGAGGAGTTCCTTTGGTTACTTAGCACGTACTAGAAAATACTGAAATTATTTGACCTCAGATAAAGGAATACCATTTCATCTGTAATCTTCATGCAGACACCAGAGTAAATATGCCACATTGTAATGTAGTTCTGGCTGGCTACAGTTGGTTGGGAATTGTGTAACTCCATCTCCCATGTTGCATGCTCAGCTGTTTCTGGGGAAGTCAGTAGGTGTGACAGTGAGATGAAACAGGACCTGTGTCCCACAGCAGAGAGCACAGCCTGCTTCTGGGTACCTGGAAATTGAGTGAGCAAGGAAAACTCTTCTAGCTGAGCAGGTTGGTTCACAGTGTTGGTGACAGCAGGGTGGTAGAATTGGAATAGGAAGGTCAGAAGATAGTTCCACCAGAGCATGGGCAACAAATCCAAATTTGGTACAGGAATCTGAGTTGCTGCATTCTCCTTAGTACAGGAGAAGAACACGCAAGGGACTTTGAAAGTTCTATTTCAGCTGTGGTTAACTCCTTATATCCCAAACTGAAGTGGGACAGGTAATCTGAAAGGGAAGCAGAGAGGTGGAGCCTGCAAACAGCCACGTGCTGATTGAGCCATCAGCGATTTCTTGTCTGCTGTCACCACTGGGTTAGCTGGAATACCAGACCCCCCCTTGTTCTCACTGTTATGTTTATCAGTACTTTTAGTTCCATGTTCTTCAAACAGGCCATTATTTTCCTGTGTGAAACACTTTTTACCATCTGTTTTGTTTAGTTCTAGCTTATCTGCATCATTCATACTTGATCTGTTTGGTTGGACCTCCAACTTTATAGTTTGCCAGAAGTCTGCTCTTTTCAGTGGGGTTGGTCAGACATTATAAAGCCAGGCTGAGACTGCCTGTCTGTTAGATAAGAACTGCATTTAGTTCTATTATCTGCACTTGTGTTGGTAGGTGGATTAGGTTTAATTTGGTCCTTTGGAGAGAAGCAGGCAAACTATTCCTCTGACAGATCTGGGATTTGGTTTGAGGACAGGCTTTCTTATGTGGTCTGTGAAGTGCCTCATAGCCCTGTAGGAATACTTGGTGTGTCTGGTTCCTGCCTGCAATTTGGAAGGCTGACTTTAATGACTGTGCTTCTAATTACGTACAGAGGTAAATTCTCAGATGAAAGAATGGGGAGTTTCGTCATCTGTCCCATTAAGGGCAGCAGGGTTTCTGTTGTGCAGAGGAGTGACTGCCTAAAACTGGCACCACCTCATACCTGCAGTGAGGGGAAGCCCTTCTCAGGCACCCTGACTGCCCAGGCTCCTTCATCCCTCCTCGTGTGTTGACTTCTTGAGTGAGCC